GAGAGACTTGAAACAGCTAATTCTACTCCTTAAAAACGCTCCTGCCAAAAAGATGAGCTGAAGCAGCTGAAACCTCAGCTCCAGAGAGGACTCTGGTCATGACTGCAGCGTTCCTTCCTCTGTACCTTACCCAACCCCTGTCTCTTCCCTTCAGATCTTCTCCCTCCCTCCCCCAGCTACACATGCGCCATTCCCAGCTGTGGAAGTTCATCCAGTCAAAGCCCAGGTCAAAGGCTGCCTCTTGCAGGAAGCCCTCCCTTTTTTTTTTTTTTTTTTTTGTCTTTTTCCGTGTCCGGCAACGGATAGCAACCCTCAGTGTCGCCCCCGTACCGGACCGGGACCGGCAATGGGATCGCAACCCTCGGTGTTGCTCCCGAGCCTCGCTCAGCCAGTGAGCGGGAACCGGTCTGTATGTGGGATACGAACCCTCGGCGGGAGCGCCGCCGCACTTCCCAAGCGGTGCACTATCGCAGTGCGCCACCAGGCTGGCCCGGAAGCCCTCCCTGATCCACCAACATTTCAGCATTCATCTCCCCCTCATTGGGGCTTCCTCATCACTAGGCTCAACTCTATTACAAAGCTTTTGAAGCTTTATTTTGTGTTTTAATTGGAGAAGTACAGGAATCTAGAGGTAGCAATGCTGGTTCTCCATATAACCATATTTGGGTTATACCATGTTATTTTAAAATTCTGAAATGCCAATATTTTGGCATTTAAAAGAAATGGGATTTACTGTTGTCTTGCAATATACCCAGAAAATTATGTAGCATTACAATTGTAAACCAAACAATGATGTCCTACTTTGGAAGTAATCCATTTCCTTTTCACCCCCCTAGGTGTTTTAGACATATGAGTTTTCCTGAGTTTTGATGTAATTTGCTTCCCAGGGGTGCCTGAGAGAGTCATTTAGAATGGAAGGAAGGAAAGAGAAGGGGCAGGGGAGGGAGATTCCCAGTCAATTCCCAGCCATTCCTAGGGAGTGTGACCATCTCCTTTCCTTACGCTAAAGACTCCCCTTCCCTCCAGCTTTGTCCTCTAGGTCCAAGCTCTGTCCTCTGGGTCCTGCCCCCTCCTCCTCTAGGACAATGTATTTTAACCATGACCATCTTTCCCAGTTGTCTCACTTGGAGAACTGCAAGCCTCAGGGACAGAGGAACTGACCACCTGGTCCTGGGCCTTGTAGGTAGACAGACTGCACAGGGCAGGAGCCAACAATCCACTGTCTTATGAGACACAGTGTGGCTGCTGGCATTTCAGTGTGACCTGAAGAACTCACGTACCAGCATGCTGCAAACACTAGGCACCCCCGCTGTGTACACTCCCATGCACACACACGACTGTGACCCTCGGAGGCACGGACTGTGCTGTGTTCATCCCGGGATCACCCAGGGTGGCCTGCACATGACAAGCACACACAGATGCTTGCTTGGTGAGATGACTCTTTCACTTAAAACAGGACCACGGGTGATGACAATCTGCTCTGTTTGACAGAAACACGCTGATGTAAAATCAAGTGAGTTCCGGCTGGAATCTGTGTCTTTCAGAATAAGGTACAACTACTAGTAATTATCATTATTTCCAGCCTTGTATAGATCTTTCATATACATTCTCCCTTAGCCTCCTGGAAAGTGAATGACTTAGGGTTCAGTCCGAGATGAGGAAACTGGGGTAACCCAAGTGGAAGGTGTTGAGAGCCAGGGTTTACGCTGAGCTCTCTGCTCTAACTTTCTTTCAAGTCTCCATCGCATTTCTTGCCCGTGCCGTCCACATGCAGGCACAGCTGTGGTGCACTGAATGAACCTAAACTTGAAGACCAGACACAGAATGTTGACCTCTTCCCTCACGTGGGAGGGGACCGAGTGGCCAGCAGCTAAGAAATGCAGCGTTCATAATGATACTCTCTTAACACGATTTGTAATGGGATATTTTGCAAGTCTGTGTGTTCAACTGTTTGGATGTATATTTGTGGGATTATTTGATTAGTGCCTGTCTCACCTCTAGACAGTAAGCTCCATGAGGACAGCGAACACGACTGTTTTCCCTGCCAGCGTATCCCTGCTCCCAGGCACGGTGCTGGTATGTGCCTGGGCATTCAGTACACATACACTGAATAAATGATGGTGGGAGTCCTTTACTGACTGTGCGAACTTGGGCAAATTATATCTATGATCTCCCATAAATTCCATGAGGTAGGAATTATCTCCATTTTATAGACAGAGAAACTGAGGCTCTGTGTATGAAGTAACTCAGGTGCATGCCCCTGAGCCAGGATTTGACCTCAGGCCCATCTGACTCCAGAGCGAAGCACCTGGAGCCCTGGGTGCTGGGCTTCCCTGGGCAGGGGAAGGTGTGGACCGGAGCTGCCTCTGTCACCCGCGTGTCTCCTGAACATGTCGCCACATACCCACTCCTCTCCACTAACTCAGATCTGTGCTGTGCTTGTCCGCAGGCTCAGGAGGCAGCAGGGGCAGGGCGGCCAGCTCTTAGACACCGAAGGCCGAGCTGGGAGCCAGGTCCAGAGCAAGCTCCGGGACGGATGCAACAACAACATCCTCGCCCACGCCTGCTCCCGTGGCTGCAGCAGCTAAGCCCCACCTGCAGCTGCCCGACGGGACTGCACACGCATCTGCCCTGCCCACCCAGAGCCCCCCCTCTGTGTCCCCATGGTCCCTATCTCACCCATGAAAACATCAGATGCTGAAAGAGCCCTGGACTCGGAGCCGGGAAGCCTGGGTTCTGGTTCCAGCTCCTGACTGATTTGCTGTGTGACCTCAGACAAGTCACACCCTCTCTGTGCCTCAGTTTTCTGCATCTGCCAAAGGGGTTAAACAGCTCTCTGCCCCACTTCAAATTACAAGATTATTGTGAGAATACAATTAGATAGCAGACATGCAAAACCTTTGACATTTATAAAATTGTTTACACATGCACAATATAACCTTAGTATTTGAAGTGCACTCTCATCCCCAAAAGCAATTCGAGTATCACAACTGCAATTCGGCCCATCCTAGCTTGCTAGATGGTACTTTCAAAAAACGCAGCCCCAAGGATAAAATAAATGTCTGACTGCCGGGCCGCGTCGTTCTGACCTAAGACAGCACGGTGTGCAGCAGCCTGGTCCCCAAGGTCTCAGTGCTGCAATGTACTGTTCCCCTATTCACAGAAGACTGTCCCCACTTTTTAATTTCAGCAGTTCCCTCCCCAACCCTCCCCTGGTGCTGGGATGGCACATAGGTGTCCATTCAGATGACAGTCAAGACACTGATCATGGGTAACTGCTATTGAGTGTCACCAGAGCTCCTCTGAAAACCCAGCCCTGCACAGACTCTCCACCAGCTGTCCCGGTGTTCTTTCCTGGGCAGGGTGAAACATCAGCTCGACAGCACTGTCTTATGGAGGATTCCCAACTGGCAAAGACAGGTGGCTCCCTCTTTATAACTTAGGAAGCATGGGTGGTTAGTAGTTTATTCTAGGAGGAAAGTGGACCCACACAAAGCAAATATCTCTATGATCTGTTCAGGGAACAGCTGGCCTTTGAATGAGGAGAGGCCGTGGCATGGCAGGTGAATCTCAGCCTCGGAGCCAGCCCGTGTCCTGAGGCCAGCCCCACTGTTCACTGACCGGGAGACCTAGGCAAGCCACATGCCTCGTCGTGCCGTCAGTTTCCTCCCTTGTAAATGGGGTCATAAAGCTGACCTTTCAGTGTCGCTAAAGGTTATGTGAGGTCCTGCATGTGACGCACCCTGCACACTGGCTGACTCACCGAGTGTAGCCTTTTTTGTCAGTATTGGCATCATTATTATTTGGAGATCATTTCCTCTTTCACCCACTGGGCAGGTCAGTCTTCTGTGGAAACACGTCTTGTGTTTCAGATTCTTTTAACTTTTCTTCCCAGGATCTTTAATGTCTGTATAGACCATAAAGTTCAATTGTGTTTTTATGTTCTTATCCAACTCCCATTTTTCACTTTTTACAGGATAAACCAATCTTGGGGGCTGTCAGTACCATTTCTTTGACTTTTTAAGAGACATTTTAATGTACAGTGAGGTTTTATATTTTTGTTTTAAAAAAACAGTCATTGTTTTCCTGCTTTAAACCGAGGCTATCTCTGGATTGAGTTGCCCCCGTAAATCTGCTTGTTTTGTGCACTTTTCCGTCTTCAGTTCCTCATCAGCACCGTGCTGTCCCCCTCCAGGAAACACCGGGGCTGCTCCTCTTCCCTGTGACCCCAGAAGCACTTGACGTTTCTTACTGGGCTGAGGTCATGAATTGGGGGCAGGAGCTGAGGTGGCCCTAGAGACGCTGGATTTCCTGGCTCTGTTCAAGTCACTGTTCCTTGTTCAGAATAAACTATTTCTTGGACGTCCCTTCTTACAACTTTGTTTTTAATCCAGGGTGGATGGGATGGACCATGTTCCTCTCAGAGTGAAGATGCTCAAGTTGAACTAGAAGCTTGGGAGTAGGTAGTGGATACCAAATCAACGATGCATGTGCCCACAGAAGAAAATCACACCGAGCTTGACGGTACCCATGCAAGGCTGTACCCAACTTGATCACAACCTATATCATCACCATCATCATTTATTGTTATTCCATATTTATAAAGGCACAATCTATTCACTGGGGAAAAAGTATAGAAAATTCTCCACCTAGAGAAGGACACTCTTTAAAATGTCCTCAGATGACCACACCTCCATACGACACACACACTGCTGCAAACGAGACAGTGCTTTCTTCTTTCACGGCCTCCTTGGTCTCCCATCCCCCTGCCTTTGCCCATCCTGTCCTCTCTATGGGAGGCCTTTCTCAAGGGCCAATCCCACCACACCCTCTCACCTTCAAGCTGCCTGAGAAGCCAGGTCCCATCTCCCCCTGCCACCCGCCACCCTTGGACCTGACAGCATGTGGCTCCTAAAAGGCAATCCCCAGCTCTGTAATAAGTGAGACAGGGGCAAGCCCGACACAAATTCTTTCCATCAGGACAGCTTACTTTGGGCACCCTCCTGGCTCCTCTGGCTCCACTGCCTCTTCCTGGGGCATTTTTCTTTCCAGGTTCCAGTGCTTTCCTGGGGCTGCCCACAATGGAGAGCCCATCCCTACCCACCCCTTGCTCCTAACCCTGTTCCCAGAGGACACAGCTACAGCCCAGCACTGGAAAGAAAACAATCTGATTAAAGAAATATGTGCCCAAGCAAGAATTTGTGTGAGGATTACAGTATCATTTGAAATTCATGCATGCCAGGGCAAGCTATAGCCTGGTGACAACTGGGCTTTCCTGCCTCCACCGAAGTAAACCTCAGGCTTTTCCTGCCAGTAAGTAAAAAATGAGCCAGTGTTTACAGCAATAACCCAAATCTGGATCCTCTGAGTCCCTTTCCATCTATCAGCAGGTATTCTGGCATTTTTCCCAGAATCCTCCCCAAATTTTCCTGAGCAACTGAAGGGTACTTTCCTGTTAGCAAGAATGTCCCCTGTGTCCACCAGCATGTTGGGAGTGCCCCCCCAAAAAAGAACAGCACTGTCTATGGCTTTCATCATCTCCCTGCTGTGTCAACCATCACAGTCCCTGGCCACTCACGAGCCAAGACCCCCAGGGACGACATGAAGGCGGCCAGGTGGCACCTTTACATACAGTGGGGTGTGTTAGAGAAGAGGTGCGCTGAGCTTCAGGAGCCTGAGTTTTCACAAGGGGCAGTGAGCATGGCTGCCCTCTGCTCCTGCGGGGGACACCATCTCTATCTGCCAAGCCCATTCTCTGCACAGACATCCTTGAGAGGCTCGTCTGGAACAAAAGTGCAGCCGGCACCTCACCTGCATGACAGGCACGACACGAGAGCCCCCTGCAGGGCTCCCATCAGAACACTGAACTTGGACTCCTCGCCCACCGGCCTGCTGGGGCTGCGAACCATTTCCACTTCCCAGACAACAGAATCAAGGCCCTGCACACAGTGGTGACATCTGTGGACATCCCAGGAATGATCCTGTGAATGTGAGATTCCGAGTCAGTGAGTCCCGGGTCGTGCCTGAGATTCTGCGTTTCTAACAAAAGGGCATGCCATTGATAATACTGGGCCAGGGACCACTGCAGGTGGCAAGGACCTAGAACTTGTGCGAGTGGCCAAATTGGCCATGCCTATGGGTTTCTGCATAGTATACAGCTGTTTTCTGGCTACAACTGCAGTGGTGAGTGGTTGCAACAGAGACTGCAACAGAGATATGACCCACAAAGCTGAAAATATTTACTATCTGGCTCTTTACAGAAAATGTTTGCAGACCCCTGATCTAGAAGACACATCTGGGACATGAAGTGGGCAGATTGCAAATGTACATTTGCCTCGCTCACCTGCAAAAGCCAGTGGATCTCAGAGCTTGGCAATTCAGCCCTATGGGGTCCTGTGGGGGAGAATTTGCAGAGAAATCAATGGCCCACTTGCCCTCACCAGTAGACTGTTGGGCTTTTTCCAAACTGTGGAGACCTGTCAGTAACCCCTCCCAGTGTGGTATTACGAGAGTCGCCCTTTTCCTATCTTCCTCCTCCCCATGCTAGCAGCATCTCTGCTTTGTGCAGTTCAATTTCCACAGCACTTGCCACACTGCTCGGTGATGGTCATGTGCCCCACGCCTGCCCACTCCGGGCTATGGTCTCCATCGGGGGAATGCGGGGCACAGTTGGCCCCCAGCACTCCTCTGCTTTAAGTCAGGTTCTCAGCAGATGTGGAAGGTGCACAAACAATCCCACCTCAGCCCCTAACATGGGCCACATTTAGCAAAGGCCTGTCACTTTGAGGACTGGCCCATGCACCATGCCACTCCCATGGCACATTCGCTGCCTGTCTCATTTCCTCTTCCGACCCTGAACATGAAATCATGGCACGGCCTTTCCCATGTTTAATTACTGACTGTCACAAAGAGCAAGTGCCTGGTGCTTCCAGGGTGATCACAAACAAACATGATTAATGAATTTCCCTCTCAGTGTCTCTGCTCTTCTTTTTTATTTCCCACCCCCACCCCTGTCGGTTCTCCCACTGCCGGAGACCGACAAAGCCGGGCTGGAAGAGACCCCGGACCAGCCGGCGGCAACCTCTTATGGGGCTGAGCGGGATGATGAGTGTCGCAGGCCCGATCCCCTCTGCGCTACGGCCCCGGGGACAAAGAAAGAACACCGAGCCAGGAGAGCGGTCAAAGCCGGAACTCTGTTTATTACAGCAGACAGGGATTTTTATAAGGTACTAGGGGCGGGGGAGCCCTTATCCAATAGGGAGTTGACACACTGCTATCCGGGGGGAGGGGTGAGGACAGGGCAAGCGGGAAAAAAGTGCAAAGTCACTGTACCCCGGAAGAGAAGGCAGCTAGCGACGTGTACATTAGCGCTTATGAAATGGCGGCGGCAAACTTATGCCTTTAAAATGGCTACTGTTGAAAGACAGGATTTACACATGGACAGGCACCTTATGGTGGAAATGCACCGAAATGTGGCCCAACACACCCCCACGCCCACACTTCCTAATTCTTTTCTCTCTGCAGGGAGAGTGGCAAGTCACACATGACCTTTCCCCAGGCATAGAAGCTGCCATCCTTATATAGCCCTAATTCTAAGAACCTATTTGTACAACCATCTTCTTGCTGAATTCAATGGCATTTTCTAAATGGAAATTCATTTCACACGTTGCTATGGTCTGAATGTTTTTGTCCTCCCCCAAATTCATATGTTGAAATCCTTGGGATGAAGGGCTTTCAGGAGGTGATTAGATCGTGAGGGCTCTGCCCTTATGAATGGAATCTGTGCCCTTATAAAAGAGGTCGCAGGTAGCTTGTCTGCCCCTTCCACCAGGTAAGGACGCAGAGAGAATTCAACATCCATGAACTAGGAAGTGGGCCCTACAGACACCAAACCAGCCTTGATCTTGGACTTTCCAGCCTCCAGAGCTGTGAGAAACAAATTTGTTGTTTATAAGCTATCTGGTTTATGATATTTTTCTATAGCAGCCTGAATGGACTAAGACACAACAATTAAGGGTGAGGCTGGGGAGTTCTCTGAGTTCTGGCCAGTGCCAAGAAAAACCTGATTCCTGTCTTACCCATGAGCCTTCTCCCTCGTCCCCAAACCTCGCTTCTGTCCCACACCTCCACCACACCAGGTTCTCAAGGGAGCTCAGGAAACAGCAGCAAAGTAGGAATCAGAATCACTACATCAGTATTGAAGCCCCAGCACAGAGCCCCGCGAGAAGGTCACGTTGAAGCAAGAAGCACAGGATCAAAGCCTTAGCAAGGCCCTCTGTTCTTCCCAAAGTTTGACATTAGCACCAGTAAACCCAAGGTTACCACGCACAGCAGCCCAGCCCATTAGTAATAGTGGCCCCATCGATGGCTCAGATTCTGACCAATCAGAAGAGAAATTCCTCTTTCATTGTGGGAGAAATGGATAAGGGTTGATTGCAGATATGCCTGGCAGAGGAAAATGTGCAGGAAGTCTCTTTTTCTGTTCATTACTAAGCTGTCAGAGAGTCAAACTATATCAGAGTCAAACTATATCAAACTCAAATAAGCCCAGGATTTAATCACTCGCCTTCTAGACATTTTCCATAGAATTTTCCCACTTTCAGTAATTTACCTCTCTCTGAGATCACAAGGATGTAATTGTGGAATGCTCCTCTGTTATATTTAATTTCTATACCTCTGGAAGAATTAATCCCATATTTTGCAGGCTCTGGGTATTGTTAAGGTCTTTACACTGGCCAGACCACCCACACACAGTAACAGGGTGACACATGGAGGGGCGCTATGCTGGGGTGCCGTGAAAGCTTCCTTTATCAAGACCAGCAGGTTGAAAAGGAGTCTGCCATACAAAGAGATGATGGTTGATGATGCACGCCAGGCAAAGAATACCAGATGGGCAAAGGCCCTGAGTCAGGAATCACCCTGGGTTCTTCCAAGAAGAGAAAGGTGGCCAAGTGCCCAGAGCTTGGTGAGCAGAGAGAAATGTGGACAGGATGAGGCTGCAGACAGGACCTGACCACAGAATTCCCAGGGGATCAGGAGGAAGAGTCTGGATGTGTGTGATGGGATGCCTTTGAACTGCTTTAGGAAAGGGAATGTGGCTGTTGTGTAGATGACAGACAATGGGGGTGGACAAGGGTGCAAGTTGGGAGGACACCAGTTAAGTGGATGGGGCCACAGTTCAGGAGAGAGACCATGGGGGCTTGGCTCAGGGTGGTAACCCTGGAGGTGGGGAGAAATAGATGGATTAGGGACATGTTTGTCAAAGGATTGGGGTGATTGGACTGGGGTAATAAGGGAAAGAGACAGGACTTTAAAGTCAGACTGACCTGGCTGTGTTGCCTTGGAAAAGTCACTTGAAATCT